ATAATGTGAATAAACGAAAATACTGATTTATAATTATTATAGAATTTTTTTTCAAAAAGCACTGCACTATAGGCAAACTCAACGTTAGAAAATGTGAAATAACCAGTTGAATTTTTTACTGTTCTACAACGTGATTATCCTCATGAATATATAGTCATTTCACATTATATTTCGAAATCGCAACATAGTGGAATCCGAGTATTACATTAAGTATGATGAAATCACAAATAAATGTGTATTCGATTTTGGAGTATTTTAAAGAATAAAAAACTTCATAATTATAGAAAGAAGTCGTATGAGCTCAAACTCTTTTAGGCTTTTTCTTTATATGATGACATCTACATATAAACAAAAATCGGTGAGAATCAGTTGAAACGATTTCTTCTTCAAGTAAAGATACAACGTATTTCTTAAAAAGTAATTTATTAAAAGATATTGACCATTCTGAATCCATTAAATTTTGATTGTTGATATGATACTTTTGATAACGATAAGAACTTATAAAAAATCGACACTATATATTTATCTGATAATTTTACAATTTTTTTTTCAATATACGTTGCGAATAATATTAATATCAAAGTTGTTACCAATAAGCAAATATCAATTATTTATCGTTCTATTAGATTTCTACATTTATTATTGATGAATATAATTTTCAAAGATTATAAAAGAAATAATTATGTATGATACTCATATTTGTTAAATACTCATACTCTTAAGCTTACTCATTTCAAATGGATTTCTATGGTGTTATTTTATGATCGATCTATGTCGCAATTCAAATCTTTTTTTTCATGCATCTCTTTGTTTTCAATCGAGCTTATTGATTATAACTAAAAAAAGTGTAAATAATATTTTGATTGTCCTATAATAGCTATGAAAACAAGTACACAATATAGCAGCATGATATACTACGTAATATCCTTTTTTTATCATTAATATTATTTCGATACATGATAATAAAAAAACAACCACGCAAAAAATAGTTTTTTTTATATATTTTATTTTTATGTAATATATAAGAAATTTTTGTGAACTATTTGGTAACGATGAAAAGTTATATTTTTATAGAAGCAAAATTTATTTATTATCTAGTTCATCATTACTTTTGAAAATATTATTAAAGTAATAATTCCGATAAGAAAACTTAATTTTCGTTCTGATCAGCTTCTGAGTGAGTGATTTTGTCAATCTTATTTGATCGTGCGTGAATATATTTAAAATCGTAATAGAGATAAATAACATAACATAATAAGCCACATAAGAGTAAAAATCTATATTTAAACTAAACCACTTGGAGGTTGATATTACGTACCTTGTTTTTTTATTATTCTTCGAGTGTAATCGCTTCTTTATACTGGATTATATAAATAAGTATAATATTTTTTGCGTTTTCAAATAGTATTAAAAGCATATTATGAAATACAGTTAAAACGGACTTATTTTTTTTTCATTGTATTATTATTCTAGATCTCTTCGAAAAAGCAATAATTATTTCATTTAAACAATAACATTAAGATGCCATCAGCTGTTACTAAGATTGAAGGCAATTGGAAAATTATCGATTATCCCAAGCATCCTGAATGTATGGATTGTAAAATTAATATAAAAGGTCATGGTTTAGATCCAAATATGTTTAAACTTCATATACATTTAATTAATGATTTGAGTTGTATTTTGGAACATAATTCTAAAACTCAAGTATGGAAAATATCGAATTTTTTTTCAACAAAATTAATTGGTACACGAGAACAAATAGCTAAAGAATATGATTTAAGAAAAGTCATTACTTCTTTACAAAAATTAACAGTTAATAATGAAAAAGAATTAATTATGAAAACAAATTTTGGTGAACAAATTCGATTAGAACGTTTACCATAATAAACGATGTGTACATATATTTACTGACTATATAATTTTTTAATATTTCTCTTATTTTTGTAATTAACTTGCACATGTTAGTGATTAGTTTTAAATAAATAAATAAAATTCGATTATGAATACTGCTATAAATATCATTTTTTTTATTAATTTGAGTTCAAGATAGATAAAAATAATATATGATACTCATTTATAACCGCAGTTTTTTGTCGTTCTGATAATATACAATGTGAACTATGCAAAGAAAAATTACCTTTTCATGTGCATTTACCACATAAAACGAAAGAGAATAGTTGCGGTTACACGTGCATTACATATAATATAATAACAAAACGATAATCCAATGCGTGAGAAAAATTACTATTTTCACTCATCCGTGATAGTTGTATGTCTTTTTTTCTATTTATAGTATCAAATTATGTCCAAAAACTAGTTGAAGCGTTTTGACTTTTGTCCATAAATTGATACTATTTTTCTATTCAGATAAAAATATTTGTTTTGAAAGAAAAGATTCTTAATTATAATATGTATGAATTTATCGATTTCTTCAACATATTGATTGTATCAATCAAATACAAACGGACAGTGGAGGTGAGGATGTGGATGCAGTTAATAAATATATAATGATTAGAATATTGTTGTAAAGTATGCAAAGCACTTTCGCCTACTCGTCCGAGAATCATAAGTTATTTTACAGAGTCAACCATTACTAAATAAAACAATATGCTTTGTACTATAAGTAATTTTCTAGAAAGTCTCCAAATAAGACAACTTAGGTTCAAGATTAAATCAATGAAGGACGCACTACCAAGGCGAACAATTAATACTATGAGCGTTTATTACACTGATTCTATACATAGTAGAGATGTGTGTGCGATTTTCGACTGAAGAAGCAATAGATGATTGTATTTTTTTGTTCTGTTGTGAATTATTTAAGATCCGTCTTGATAATGATAATTATGTACCGAAATTTAAAGCTGCTATCATAGCAATTGAATTTAGATAATTTTAGTGGATAGAACAATGATAAGTAAAATTTTATTTCAATGTAGATTCCTCTAATGAATAATGTTAGATTTATTTGATGAATACGATCGAAATTAAGTATAATCTGTTTTTATCGTACTTTGCTTAGGTTTGTTAGTCTTTTAGTTCTGCCTGATTATTTTAGATGAGGTATACTTTTCTGTTGAAAGGTCGTTTTTATTTTTGATTTTTAATAATGAAAACGTTTGAAAACAAGTAACGCTCGTTCGAGGACTCGCTTAGCTCTTTCTCGTAGAAACGTATCTTCCTCACATTTACTGAAAAAACGATTGAAAATCGTGAAAAATCGATCTTCGACGTTTTTTTGATCCTGCGGACAGACAAACAATCAAGCAGACAATTTATGTTTACTGGACTCTTCTCTACGAGAAAGAAAATAAATATTATATTCATTTCATATTCATATGCACTCTTAGATTAGTCTATTTTATTGTAAAATTATACTGATTAAGAATATCGTTTAGAATGGATCGAAATTTATTAAATGTCTTTTATACACCTCTGAAATAATTTTCATGTATATTTTCTATGATTATTCGAAATGCAATCATATGTATTGGAATATACTACTAATGTATTCAATGAAGCATCTTCTGAGCGCATTAGAAATTAGGAACCTGTCGTGATATTTAAAGGCTTTAATGACGGTGGGTGTGGAATGGATAGAACACTTATACCCACACCGTCAAGAAGATGATTCAAGAGAAATTGTTAAGTGAGCAAAACAAGCAAATATTGATATTACATTTAATGCATGTTTATCCAATATTTCATCTTCACTATCCTGAAGCGCGAAATACAATTGATAATATTAACGAATGGATGAAAACAAAATTTAACTAAAAACTGTAGATAGAACTAATACAGTTAGTTACACTTCACTTGTGATGACAAGAGTATGGATAGAAATTCATTTTTCGTCGCCCATACTCACGTACATGTTATCGAAATTGCATAGAACGCCCGCAAATGAATTATTTTTAGACTATCAACAAATTATTTATTGAGGGTACTATATTATTCACGTTTCACTCATCCATATGCATGCTCAGTAGATTATTTGATAACTCAAACCGACTTAGAATACCACGTGCTTGCTTACAGCTGGTTAAGTTTTATGAAAAATAATCTGTTTTATTTTCACATTATTCTTAAACCAAGCAATGAAACACGGACACACAAGCAAGCAAGCAACCAAACAATGTATTCTTACAAGACTCTTCTCTACGAGAAAGAGAATTAGTTTAGAATACGATTGCAAAGAATTCGTTTTATCAACGAACGTAAAGCTGCTCGATAAACAGTTGAAGGTAAAATAAACAAAAATAAAATTGTCATTGAAGGAATAAAACTAATTAAATAAGCAAATAAACTTAAAAATGGACGACGATCAAGTTTTTTACATACAAATATAAAAAGAAATAAAATTCGAGGAAATGAAAGAATAGCAAGTAAAAGAGGACCTAAAAGAATATGTTTATGTTTCATAATTTGTTTTTTAATAAGAAGTAATCGTGTTCTCCATGGATCTGCTTGATTAGTATTTCTGTTAGCATTTAATTCCATTCTTCGTTTTAATTCAAAAGTTTTTCGAAGAATAATAAAACTACTTACGAAATTAATAATTATTGGTACAAAGAATAGAAATAAATTTGATGCAACATAAGATTTAAAAACCTTCGGCCGATTATTATTATTAAGAGTAAAAACACACCAATTTCGTTTATCTTCTTCATCAATTATCATTTGTCGAAAGAATATTTCTGGTGATGATATTAAACCAACTAGAATAATTATACTTGGAATTAAACATTTCGATATATATTTACTTTTCAAACGAGAAAATTTCGTTTTATATAATAATGCTGAGCATCGTTCAATGGCAACACATGAATTTAACCATTCACAACTTGTTAAAAACCATTTAAATGAGAATTCAATGAATGAACAACTTATATTATTCTGTTTATCATATAATAATAAAATTATTTTAACCATTAATAAAATAATTATTAAAAGACCAAGAAATGCTGATGTTATTAAATAAAATGCAGAACCAACTTCTTGTGTAGTTCGATTATTAAATGTTCCAATTGTTAATATATTTAAAATTATTCCAATAATAAATAAAATAATAATTATTATAAAAGTTATTTGAATAGTAGTTGTTTGATAATATAGATTTGTAATCATTGGTTTTATATGAGATCCAATAATAGCATCAAGAGAAAGTATATAACCTTCAGTTGAGAATTGACAAACTGATCCATAACTACATGAATTACAAAGACAAAATGAATATGTTGGACATAATTCTTTATCTTTTATACAAATTCCTCTTTCACTACATTTATTCCATGGACATCCACTATATGTTGAATTTAAATTAAAACAATAAGCATGATTTGTTTTATCACATAGACACATTAATTGTTCATCATAAAAACATGGAAATTTTTCAATTAAATTTTTTTTAAGACATATCTGTTGATAATATTTAACACGACGTAAATATGGTTGAGAAAGAATTGTTTTATCCAATAATTCATTTATTGATCGACATCTACTCTTTTGATCAACAATAGCATTCATTTCATTTAATGATTCGTCAACTTGTTTAATAATATTTAATAAATAATAACTAACATGATTAAGATCATTAAATAATTGAATAAAAGAAATTAATCCAGGAGAATCAAAACTATCGAATGTATATTCAAATAAAAATGTTAAATTTAATATTTCTTCATGGAAACGATAGAACGATGTTAAATATAAATCTTCACGATATGTTAATGGAATAATTAAATGAATAAGTGCAATACTTGATGATGAAATTATTTTCGAATCAGTAAATGAAACATGAAAACGAAATTTTTTATTTTCACATTGATTTCCAGACCATTCCAATTCACAAATACATCGAAATTGAGAATGTGGATGAGCACGTTCATCGTTCGGATAACATTCTCCATGATAATTACAACTCGAATTTGTACATGGATTAAATGGAATTAGACAACGAGAACCAATACGATTTAATGGACATACACAAATATCTCTATTAAGATTTATATCATAACCAATATAAAATGAATCCAATGAACATGAACTTGAATTCTTTTTATTAATTATTCTTTCAATTGAATTATCAAAAGTATCAATATTAGAAATAAATAATCGTTTAACTATTCGTTGTACAGGTAAAAAATGAAATAGAATTTTAAATATCCATTTTGAATGATGTTCAACAATTGAACTAGTAAACATAAGAACTTCAATTGAATCATTTGAATATAAAGATAATGGATCATTTATTGGATAAACTAAATGTATTATATATTTCGGTGAACAATATTCAAGTGGTGAATAAAGAAACTGTTCATGTGATAATATTATTCGTTTTTCATTTTCACGTATTAATAAAACAATAAATTTCATTGTTGGAAAATTTCGATTAAATGAACCTGTTAATTCAATATGAAATATAGTAGTTATTCGTTTACGTTGATATTGACATCGATCACCATAATAATAAATTGGACATAAACAAATGTATCCAGATGTACTTTCCAATGAACGAACATATAAACCACGATTACAATACCATATAATCATATGATCAATATATGATCTTTGTTGTTTAACTTGTTTCTGTAAAGGATAATTATCGATATCTAAAGAATGTAATCGAGTACGAGAATGATATTCAATTAAATCACAAAACAGTTCATCTTCTCCATCTACACAATGAAGATTCATTCCATCACATCGAAAAATTCCATGTGTATGATTATATACTATTCCATTTCTACATCGAAAATGATGTTTGTGACATAATGATGTTTGCCCATTATTCATCCATCGACATGCTATTGTTTCATCATCATTTAAAGGACAATCTTGATGACAATCACATATTTGAAATGGTGAAATACATATATCAGAATTTAAACATCGATATCGAAGAACATAATCATATGGATATTTTGAACGACAAAAAGATCGTTCATCTATTGAACCGATACAATCAATAATACCATCATTGGCTTTATTTAAAGGTAAACATATTGGTAAACCATTTTGAATATCCAAACAAAAATGTGTTGTTTTATTACAATGACGTGAAGCTAAATTTGGTTTTCCACAACCTAATTCATCTTCTCCATTTGGACAATTCCAAATATTATCACATTTTGTATGAAAATTAACACAATTCCATTCATCGCTACGACAATCCGTTTCATCTGTATTTCCTTCTAAATCAGAAGAAATTTCAGTAAAACCATTGCAAAGTTGTACAAAAATGAAATTAAATCGACGAGATTGATTTAAAAAACTACGACATTCATCTGAATACTCCAGTTTACATAACGAACGTATAAAATATGTTTCATCCTTTCCATCATTACAATCTTTCTACAATAATTAATTGAATTTATAAAAAGAAAGTTTTCATAGAAATATACGAACGAATTTATTTGCTATCGCAGTTGGATGTATACATCGTGTTCCTTGATCACATTTAAATCGAAAAGAATAATTTAATAAACAAGTATTATTCTGATATTCATCTTCACCATTGGAACAATCTTTATAACCATCGGATAATCGTTGTTGAGAAAAACATTTACTACCATCATTACATTTAAATAAAAAACATTGATTTTCTGAAGGTAATAATGAACATGATTGAACAAATCGTTTCACATCTATTATCTTGCTATCTAATAATTGACATGTTAAACCATTTAATGATGTTGTCGTTATTTCAAAATGTTCTGTATTAAATAAATACGGACATAACGATTGATTATAACATATTATTTCTGGTTTCAAATCTTTGTAAATAAAATGTATATGAGAAAATAAAATCAATGTTGATGGTGATGGTGATGATGAGATTTTTTGAAAATAGAGATAATCTTTTTTAGATCCACAAAGTGTTGTATTTAAGTTTATCGGTCCATCATAACAGGATCCATCACCGCAAGAAAACCACATATTAGGACATGAATGGTCTTCACAACGGGTATAAAATTTATAAAAACATTCGTCACTATTTTGAAATGCTTCATCGGTATAATCCATACAATCAGCATATTCATCTCTATAAAATGTTTTATCAATGCATTGACCATTTAAACAACGAAATTCATTTATTTCATCACATTCATTCTTTTCAAGTAAATGACAATGGTATTCATCAAATCCGTTTGTACAATCGATTTTTCCTAAAAATAAAAATGAAGAAATGAAATCATCTTTTTCGAAGAAAGATCAAATTTTTATTTCTATCGTAGAATGGATCCATTGAATTCTTTTTATTTACAATATACATATGACTTTCCACAAAGAAAAACACAACTTGTTTATATTTCACAATTTTCCAGTTCCTAAGAATTATCTTGCTATTTATAGGCACACTGAATAAAGTACTCTTATATTATTCTCATTTCTGTAAGGATGTGTTGAACCAACGGACATTCGGCTATTTCGCTAATGTCTGATTGATCAGTTTTTGAGTCAATCAGATTTCAGTATTTTGAAGTCGAACAATAAATAACTTCCCAAAGGTATGACGCTAGTCAGCCTGGGCCACAAATCTGAATAGGGCCCTTGCTATTGGATGAGATCATGGGTGGGATTAGAGACCTTGATGCTGGGTGAGATCTTGGCTGGGGTTACAGACCTTGATGTTGGGTGAGATTATGGGTGGAATTAGAGAGCTCGATGTTGGGTGA